AGCCTGGGTTTTGTTCCAGACCCCACCAGGGCTAAGGAGGAGTGAAATTTCACCCCCCCCCGGGCTGTTCTGTCGCCGAGGGGCTGTAGGAGTGGGGCTGGAGGGTGTGATGATGATTCTGGGGTCTCTGGTTTGGAGCAGCCCAAACCCATCTGCTGCTGCCTCCGCCTCCCCACGGTTTGGCTCCTCTTCCTGCCACAAGTTTATTTACCCTCCAGAGATTTATTTCCCCTTCCTTTTTTATTTTTCTAGGTCTGGATTTGTTTTCCTTCCTTCAAAGCGAAAATCAGGTGAGTTTCGTTGTTTTTTTCTTTTGGTTTCATTTCTGGGTGGTTTTTTTTTTCTTTTTTTCTCCTTGCCCCATCCACAAACGCATCCCTCTCCGCTCGGCCAACCTTCCTCCTCCTCCATCCTCCTCCTCCTCACTCTCCTCCCTTCGCCAAGGGAGATTCAGAGCTGCCAAGGGCTCGGGGGGTGGGAGGATTTTGCTTCTTCGGGGATGAATCCTCACGGATTGTGGGTGGAAAGAAGAGGGATTTGGTGGGATCCAACTCGTCCCCTTCACACGGGGCGGAGGTGCTGGGCACAGATCCTGCCCAGGTGGCTTTTTTTGGGGGGGGGTCACTGGGTTCTGTCCTTTTTTCTGTGTGTTGGGCTTCATTCCTGGCCCCTACTGTGCATCTCACCCCCCTTGAACCCCCTGCTCACAGGAGACAGTGGGTGCTGGTGGTTTGGGACTTGTTACTGGTGCATTGAGACTTGTTACTGGTGGGTTGGGACTTGTTACTGGTGGGTTGGGACTTGTTACTGGTGCATTGGGGCTTGTTACTGCTGCACGGGGACTTGTTACTGGTCGGTTGGGACTTGTTACTGGTGCGTTGGGACTTGTTACTGGTGGTTTGGGACTTGTTACTGCTGCACGGGGACTTGCTACTGGTGGTTTGGGACTTGCTACTGGTGGTTTGGGGCTTGTTACTGGTGCATGGGGACTTGTTACTGGTGCATTGGGGCTTGTTACTGGTGCATGGGGACTTGCTACTGGTGGTTTGGGACTTGTTACTCGTGCATTGGGGCTTGTTACTGGTGCGTTGGGACTTGTTACTGCTGCACGGGGACTTGTTACTGGTCGGTTGGGACTTGTTACTGGTGGTTTGGGACTTGTTACTGGTGGTTTGGGGCTTGTTACTGGTGCATTGGGACTTGTTACTGGTGCATGGGGACTTATTACTGGTGCATGGGACTTGTTACTGCTGCACGGGGACTTGTTACTGGTGGGTTGGGATTTGTTACTGGTGGTTTGGGACTTGCTACTGGCAGGTTGGGGCTTGTTACTGGTGGTTTGGGACTTGGTGCAGTGGGACTTGTTACTGGTGCATGGGGACTTGTTACTGGTGGGTTGGGACTTGTTACTGGGGGGTTGGGACTTGTTACTGGGGGGTTGGGACTTGTTACTGGGGGGTTGGGACTTGTTACTGGGGGGTTGGGACTTGTTACTGGGGGGTTGGGACTTGTTACTGGGGGGTTGGGACTTGTTACTGGGGGGTTGGGACTTGTTACTGGGGGGTTGGGACTTGTTACTGGGGGGTTGGGACTTGTTACTGGGGGGTTGGGACTTGTTACTGGGGGGTTGGGACTTGTTACTGGGGGGTTGGGACTTGTTACTGGGGGGTTGGGACTTGTTACTGGGGGGTTGGGACTTGTTACTGGGGGGTTGGGACTTGTTACTGGGGGGTTGGGACTTGTTACTGGGGGGTTGGGACTTGTTACTGGGGGGTTGGGACTTGTTACTGGGGGGTTGGGACTTGTTACTGGGGGGTTGGGACTTGTTACTGGGGGGTTGGGACTTGTTACTGGGGGGTTGGGACTTGTTACTGGGGGGTTGGGACTTGTTACTGGGGGGTTGGGACTTGTTACTGGGGGGTTGGGACTTGTTACTGGGGGGTTGGGACTTGTTACTGGGGGGTTGGGACTTGTTACTGGGGGGTTGGGACTTGTTACTGGGGGGTTGGGACTTGTTACTGGGGGGTTGGGACTTGTTACTGGGGGGTTGGGACTTGTTACTGGGGGGTTGGGACTTGTTACTGGGGGGTTGGGACTTGTTACTGGGGGGTTGGGACTTGTTACTGGGGGGTTGGGACTTGTTACTGGGGGGTTGGGACTTGTTACTGGGGGGTTGGGACTTGTTACTGGGGGGTTGGGACTTGTTACTGGGGGGTTGGGACTTGTTACTGGGGGGTTGGGACTTGTTACTGGGGGGTTGGGACTTGTTACTGGGGGGTTGGGACTTGTTACTGGGGGGTTGGGACTTGTTACTGGGGGGTTGGGACTTGTTACTGGGGGGTTGGGACTTGTTACTGGGGGGTTGGGACTTGTTACTGGGGGGTTGGGACTTGTTACTGGGGGGTTGGGACTTGTTACTGGGGGGTTGGGACTTGTTACTGGGGGGTTGGGACTTGTTACTGGGGGGTTGGGACTTGTTACTGGGGGGTTGGGACTTGTTACTGGGGGGTTGGGACTTGTTACTGGGGGGTTGGGACTTGTTACTGGGGGGTTGGGACTTGTTACTGGGGGGTTGGGACTTGTTACTGGGGGGTTGGGACTTGTTACTGGGGGGTTGGGACTTGTTACTGGGGGGTTGGGACTTGTTACTGGGGGGTTGGGACTTGTTACTGGGGGGTTGGGACTTGTTACTGGGGGGTTGGGACTTGTTACTGGGGGGTTGGGACTTGTTACTGGGGGGTTGGGACTTGTTACTGGGGGGTTGGGACTTGTTACTGGGGGGTTGGGACTTGTTACTGGGGGGTTGGGACTTGTTACTGGGGGGTTGGGACTTGTTACTGGTGCGTTGGGACTTGTTACTGCTGCATTTACCCGGGGAGTTCGGGCAGGGGGTGCTCCCTGTGCGTCCCCCCCCTTCTCTGTGGGACTTTTTGGGGTTTTTTTGGGGAACCACGACCCGATGGGGGGTTTGTTGTTTCCCCTCCGCTCCGGCAGCATTACAGCCCTTCTGTCATCACCTCCCTGGACGAGCAGGACGCCCTGGGCCATTTCTTCCAGTACAGAGGTTCCTCCGGCCACTTCCTGAACGTGCCCCCCCTGGGGGGGTCTCAGGGGGTGGGGGGCTCCTCCGGGGGCCGCGTCAGCAGCATCGTGTCCCCCGGCTCCCTGCGGGACAGCCACGGCCACACCGGCACCGGCGGCACCGGCCCCGCCGCGCTCCCCGGCTGCCGCCCCGACGTCATCTCCTTGGACTGAGCCCCCGCTGCTGCCGGCGTTCCCTCGCCCGCCCGGGGAGAGGAGGGAGGATTCCCCGTCGGATCGGGACCTGAGGGAGGATTCCCAGTTGGATTCCTGGTCGGACTGGGACCTGAGGGCAGATTCCTGGTCGGATTGGTACCAGAGGGTGGATTCCCAGTCGGATTCCTGGTCAGATTGGGACCCAAGGGAGGATTCCCAGTCGGATTGGGAGACAAAGGTGGATTCCCAGTTGGATTGGGTGACAAAGGCGGATTCCCAGTCGGATTCCTGGTCGGACTGGGATCCGAGGGCAGATTCCCAGTCGGATTCCCAGTTGTATTGGGACCAGAGGGTGGATTTCCAGTTGGATTCCTGGTCGGATTTGGACCAGAGGGTGGATTCCTGGTCGGACTGGGACCCAAGGGCGGATTCCCAGTCGGATTGGGAGACAAAGGTGGATTCCCAGTCAGATTCCCGGTTGGATTGGGACCAGAGGGTGGAATCCCGGTCAGATTGGGACCCGAGGGCAGAATCCCAGTTGGACTGGGAGACAAAGGTGGATTCCCAGTTGGATTCCTAGTTGGACTGGGACCAGAGGGTGGATTCCTGGTCGGATTGGGACCCGAGGGCAGATTCCCAGTTGGATTCCTGGTCAGATTGGGACCCAAGGGAGGATTCCCAGTTGGATTCCCGGTCGGATTGGGACCCAAGGGAGGATTCCCGGTCGGATTGGGAGACAAAGGTGGTTTCCCAGTTGGATTCATGGTCGGATTGGGATCAGAGGGTGGATTCCCGGTTGGGTTGGGAGACAAAGGTGGATTCCCAGTCAGATTCCCGGTTGGATTGGGACCAGAGGGTGGAATCCCGGTCAGATTGGGACCCGAGGGCAGAATCCCAGTTGGACTGGGAGACAAAGGTGGATTCCCACTTGGATTCCTGGTCAGATTGGGAGCCGAGGGCAGATTCCCAGTCGGATTCCTGGTCAGATTGGTACCAGAGGGTGGATTCTTGGTCGGATTGGGAGACAAAGTTGGATTCCCAGTCGGATTCCTGGTCAGATTGGGACCCAAGGGAGGATTCCCAGTCAGATTCCTGGTCGGACTGGGATCAGAGGGTGGATTCCCAGTGGGATTCCTGGTCGGATTGGGACCCAAGGGAGGATTCCCAGTCGGATTGGGAGACAAAGGCGGATTCCCAGTCGGATTCCCGGTCAGATTGGGACCCAGAGGGTAGATTCCCAGTCAGATTCCCGGATGGATTGGTACCAGAGGGTGGATTCCCGGTCGGATTGGGACCCAAGGGCAGATTCCCAGTTGAATTCCTGGTTGGACTGGGACCCGATGGTGGATTCCTGGTCGGACTGGGACCTGAGGGCAGAATCCCAGTCAGATTCCCAGTCGGATTCCTGGTCGGATTGGTACCAGAGGGTGGATTCCCAGTCAGATTGGGACCCGAGGGCAGATTCCCAGTCGGATTCCTTGGTTGGGATGGGACCCGAGGGCAGATTCCCAGTTGGATTCCTGGTCAGACTGGGACCCGAGGGCACATTCCCAGTCGGATTGGGAGACAAAGGTGGATTCCCAGTTGGATTCCTAGTTGGACTGGGACCAGAGGGTGGATTCCTGGTCGGATTGGGACCCGAGGGCAGATTCCCAGTTGGATTCCTGGTCGGATTGGTACCAGAGGGTGGAATCCTGGTCGGATTGGGACCTGAGGGCAAATTCCCAGTTGGATTGGGAGACAAAGGCGGATTCCCAGTTGGATTCCTGGTCAGACTGGGACCCGAGGGCAGATTCCCAGTCGGATTCCTGGTCGGATTGGGACCAGAGGGTGGATTCCTGGTCGGATTGGGACCCGAGGGCAGATTCCCAGTTGGATTCCTGGTTGGACTGGGACCCAAGGGCAGAATCCCAGTCGGATTCCTGGTCGGATTGGGACCAGAGGGCAGAATCCCAGTCGGATTGGGACCCGAGGGCAGATTCCCAGTCGGATTCCTGGTCGGATTGGGACCCAGAGGGTAGATTCCCAGTCAGATTCCCAGATGGATTGGTACCAGAGGGTGGATTCCCGGTCGGATTGGGACCCAAGGGCAGATTCCCAGTTGAATTCCTGGTTGGACTGGGACCCGATGGTGGATTCCTGGTCGGACTGGGACCTGAGGGCAGAATCCCAGTCAGATTCCCAGTCGGATTCCTGGTCGGATTGGTACCAGAGGGTGGATTCCCAGTCAGATTGGGACCCGAGGGCAGATTCCCAGTCGGATTCCTTGGTTGGGATGGGACCCGAGGGCAGATTCCCAGTTGGATTCCTGGTCAGACTGGGACCCGAGGGCACATTCCCAGTCGGATTGGGAGACAAAGGTGGATTCCCAGTTGGATTCCTAGTTGGACTGGGACCAGAGGGTGGATTCCTGGTCGGATTGGGACCCGAGGGCAGATTCCCAGTTGGATTCCTGGTCGGATTGGTACCAGAGGGTGGAATCCTGGTCGGATTGGGACCTGAGGGCAAATTCCCAGTTGGATTGGGAGACAAAGGCGGATTCCCAGTTGGATTCCTGGTCAGACTGGGACCCGAGGGCAGATTCCCAGTCGGATTCCTGGTCGGATTGGGACCAGAGGGTGGATTCCTGGTCGGATTGGGACCCGAGGGCAGATTCCCAGTTGGATTCCTGGTTGGACTGGGACCCAAGGGCAGAATCCCAGTCGGATTCCTGGTCGGATTGGGACCCGAGGGCAGATTCCCGGTTGGATTCCTGGTTGGACTGGGACCCAAGGGCAGAATCCCAGTCGGATTCCTGGTCGGATTGGGACCCGAGGGCAGATTCCCGGTTGGATTCCTGGTTGGACTGGGACCCAAGGGCAGAATCCCAGTCGGATTCCTGGTCGGATTGGGACCCGAGGGCAGATTCCCGGTTGGATTCCTGGTTGGACTGGGACCCAAGGGCAGAATCCCAGTCGGATTCCTGGTCGGATTGGGACCCGAGGGCAGATTCCCGGTTGGATTCCTGGTTGGACTGGGACCCAAGGGCAGAATCCCAGTCGGATTCCTGGTCGGATTGGGACCCGAGGGCAGATTCCCGGTTGGATTCCTGGTTGGACTGGGACCCAAGGGCAGAATCCCAGTCGGATTCCTGGTCGGATTGGGACCCGAGGGCAGATTCCCGGTTGGATTCCTGGTTGGACTGGGACCCAAGGGCAGAATCCCAGTCGGATTCCTGGTCGGATTGGGACCCGAGGGCAGATTCCCGGTTGGATTCCTGGTTGGACTGGGACCCAAGGGCAGAATCCCAGTCGGATTCCTGGTCGGATTGGGACCCGAGGGCAGATTCCCGGTTGGATTCCTGGTTGGACTGGGACCCAAGGGCAGAATCCCAGTCGGATTCCTGGTCGGATTGGGACCCGAGGGCAGATTCCCGGTTGGATTCCTGGTTGGACTGGGACCCAAGGGCAGAATCCCAGTCGGATTCCTGGTCGGATTGGGACCCGAGGGCAGATTCCCGGTTGGATTCCTGGTTGGACTGGGACCCAAGGGCAGAATCCCAGTCGGATTCCTGGTCGGATTGGGACCCGAGGGCAGATTCCCGGTTGGATTCCTGGTTGGACTGGGACCCAAGGGCAGAATCCCAGTCGGATTCCTGGTCGGATTGGGACCCGAGGGCAGATTCCCAAAGGTGGATTCCCAGTCAGATTGGGAGACGAGTACAGGTTCCTGCTCAGATTCCTGGTCGGATTGGGACCCAAGGGTGGATTCCCAGTAGGATTCCTGGTCGGACTGGGACCCCAGGACAGATTCCCAGTGGGATTCCCTTCCCTCTCCGGGGCTGGAAGGACCCACCAGGAGTTGGGTTGTGTCTCTCCCTGGAGGCCTTTGCTGGGGGGGGGG